TATAAGACAACATTGTTTGAGGTCATGAAAAACATCACTTTGGGGAAACGGTAAATGTTTGCATCAAGCAAACAAAACGATTACAGAGAACGAGGAAACTGGATTAGAAGCAACACATTAGTGGGACCTGAAAGGATGCGGATGATAAAACATCGTCTTTGAGAAAGAAATATTGACACAAAAAAATCCCATATCTTTATGATCAAAAAAAAAACAAAAAAAAACTCAAAGTTGTTTTTTTCAGTTGAATGAAAAAGAAAAATCACAATTAAAAAATGAACCAACAAAGGGGCTGATTAAAAATATGGCCTCATTTTGTTGGATCACAAGGATCGGACTGTGGAACAATGAAAAAGGGGATTATAATCTGAAGAATTCATGTTTACCAAAGTCATTTTCAGTCAACAGATTGGCCACCATACATGAACATACCAAATTATTTCCAATTATTTGACAAACATATGACACTGCATATTTAAATAACGACATAGAAACTGTTTTATAAACTAAAATGGTCTAACAAAGTTTAAAAGTATTTTTTTCATATTAATCTCRTTCTTATTAATGCATTCCATACCTCATAAATGAAAGACAATGTCTAAATAAAACAGTTCTAAAGAATCATTATGTTGATAAAGTTTGTCAGACTTATATCTGATAAAATTGGGGTAAAAAGTTATATATAAAAAAAGAAAAAAAAGAAATCATCAGTAGTTTGATTTGATGTTTGTGTTCTTACATTAATCTTCAGTCGCCCTCTGGTGGAAAACTAAGTAAACAAGCAACTCGCCTCTGATTGGCCTAATTTGCGATGTGCTTGTTTCTGATTGGCTCATAACTCGAACGCCATCTCCAAAGACCTTCCGTACGGAAACACGGAAGAGGCTGATGTTTCCGACACGTAAACACAGTTTAAATCTTTTACTCCCTCATTTTTTTACTTTTAAAAACACGTGATTTATATTTATTATTAATTTCGATTTTCTAACTGAAAAGTTGCGGCTGAGACGCTCAGAGCTGCGTCACAAATCGCGGCGAGTTCGTGTTTCCGCTCGGAGGACTAAAGCAGGAGGACTCTCTTCCTGCTCGTTTGTTATGGGAGTTTCTTGCTGAGCTTGTTTGGACGAAAATGAGCGGCTTTAAGAGGTTTTTGGGCGCAAACGTCGCCTTCCTGGCGCTGCGGTGGTGTCTGGTTTGTTGCGATATAACAGATGGAAACGCGGAACATCTGAAGAGAGAACACTCGTTGATGAAACCTTATCAAGGTGAGACGGTACCGGATGTCCAGCCTGTCCTCTTAGTTTCACTCGTTTAATTTACTCGGTCATTTGTACACCTGTTTACTATTTCACATTCTTACAGACGTTTTAAATATAATGTAGCTGACTGGACAGTTGCCTGTAAAGCAGAGGTGTGTAAATTACTTTAAAAATACCTTTTTGGTAAAAAAAAATTATTTTTCACTGATTAATAAAAGTGTTCAGTAAAAAGTCATAAAACTGGTCACAATAACAGGGAAAGTAGAAGAAAATGTACAAATTAATTTAATACAAAACAGGAAGCATTCTTTTGTTTTACTTTGGTGAAAACACTGCAGGTAAAATTTCTAGAAAACCTATTTAAGCCCTGAGAAAATAACAGGGCTGTCCATTAGAACAACAACAACAACAACAACAATAATAACAATAATAATAATAATAAAGATGTTCCTCCATGACTGCTGCTGTCTGCCTGGAAACTAAAGTTGCCTAAATTTTAACATGCATGGCTAAAACTAAGTGCCTTGTATAAATANAAAGATGTTCCTCCATGACTGCTGCTGTCTGCCTGGAAACTAAAGTTGCCTAAATTTTAACATGCATGGCTAAAACTAAGTGCCTTGTATAAATATAACTTAAAACAAAAATAATAAAATYTTACAGAGAAAACCAACGTGAGTAAATGTCTTTCACTGGAACCAGTTGACAAAACTTTGTTAAATAAATTCAACACTTAATTTTAATCTTTTTAGACTTACAAAACGGCTCCTTTCATGAGTTCAGGTAGAGCTGGGCGGTATGACCCAAATTTTATATCAGAGTATTTTCAACAATTACACTGGTTTCACGGTATTTGATGGTATTTTTTCCCTCACAGCTCAGCTGATAATAAAATGGACAAACTTTGTTTATTGACTTTTTTCTTTTACTGTATCTCTGTATGACTGTTTCCCTCCTCTTATACGTCTTTTCTTCTTTGCCTGGTTGTAGACAGAAATCATGCATTTAGGTCCGATCGTGAAGTGTTGAGAAAAAAATCATTATCTGGTCTATCGTTACGTGTTAATAAAACTTAAAAGGATAACTCACTTTGCACACCAGTTAACTTCGCTACACTGCAAATCTACTTCCCCCCGGGCTTTTCACAATAGAAGCACACTAGAGTCTCCATGCAATAACGTCTCCATTTTAACGTAGCACGTTAAATCTAACTGCACATCACTGAAGAGTCGTTTACTATTCAGCGATGGTGAAAACAGGATGTTTATTTTTACGTCAGACCATATAAGTGGCTGAAACACACCACCCACCGCCAGTTGTTCCAACAATAATGTTAGCATGCTAATGCGCTTAGCGGTGCTACGAGGAAACGTGTCCCCAGGGAAACAGTTCACTGGCGGCCGCGACGAAACGTTCCGCACGTTCAGGCTATTTACACCGGTATTCAGAAAAGTCATCTCATAACAAAAATAAAAAACGGTTTTCGGTACAAAACGGTATACCTCCCAGCACTAGTGAAAACACTGGAGGTAAAATTTCAAGAAAACGTGTTTTAGCCCTGAGAAATAACAGGGCTGTCCATTAGACCTCAGTAAAACCTAAAAGTCAATAATAATAATAAGAAGAAGAAGAAGAAGAAAGATGTTCCTCCATGACTGCTGCTGTCTGCCTGGAAACTAAAGTTGCCTAAATTTTAACATGCATGGCTAAAACTAAGTGCCTTGTATAAATANAAATTAGTCTTTATATTACTCGATCAACAAAAAATAATCGTTAATGAATCAAAAAAATAGTCGTTAGACTAATCGAATAATCGTAAAAATAATCGTTAGATTAATTGAGAGAAAAATAATCGTTAAGGACAGCAGTAGATGTCATTTTATTTGACTTGACTTCTGTAAAGTTTATGGCTTGTTTCCCCTTCAGATAATCATGACATCATCTCCATGAAGCTGTACCAGTTGATGGTGGAACACACCGCTGAGGAGGACAACTTGGACTGGACCAAGATTGAGCCCAGCGTCAGCCTCCTCAAGTCCCCTAAAGGTAGGACGAGATTTCAGGGCCTCGTGCGTAAAGGAGTGCGCAGCTTTCACACGAAAAGTTGGCGTACGGACAAATTTAGACAAGTGCGCCGCACAAACAAATCAAACGTATAAAACCGTGCACACACAGGTTTCTGTGCACCTGTCCTTTATATACAACAGGTGGAACTGAGCGCACCTGAGACTCCTCCCCTGACACGCCTCCATTTAAATCTGTAAAATAGATGTAAATGTGTCTCAGTGAGAATTAAAATATTTATTACACAATTCACACATTTTATTCTCCTCAGCTGTGTGTGTGCTCCGCAGGCCTGCGCTCTGCGTGTGTTTCCAGCTACATGACAACAATATAAACACTTTACAGTTTACAGACTGAGGGTCTTTCATCATTATTAGACTGATCTGTTTTCTTGTCTGAGGTTAAATGATTTTCAGTTTCATCATCGTTCAGTTTAAACAATAAAATCTAACACTGTGTTCAGACGCTCCTTACATCCAGGAAACACAACAGAGTCATATTTCTGTGGATTCAGCTCAGATTCATGACTTTGTGAGTTAAAACTGTCGACTGAAAAACTTTGTGTGGCTGCTGCACATTCTCACAGCAGGTGAAAAGTGTGTGTAAATATACGCACACTTTCACGCAACGTTGGTTTTAATACATCCCAACGTGGGCGTAGAACCTGGAGCACGCAACTTTTTTATGCGTACGCACCGTTTATACGTGGAAACTGAATTTTAGCCGTTTATTGATTGTAGAGCTGAGCAGTACGACCCAAACTACTGTATACCGGTATCACGGTATTTAATGGTATTTAACGGTATTTAATGGTATTTAACGGTATTTAACGGTATTTAACAGTATTTAATGATATTTAACGGTATTTAACGGTATTTAACGGTATTTAACGGTATTTAACGGTATTTAACGGTATTTAATGGTATTTAATGGTATTTAACGGTATTTAACTGTATTTAATGGTATTTAACGTAACGGTATTTAACGGTATCTAACGGCATCTAACGGTATCTAACGGTATTTAACGGTATTTAAAGATATTTAACGGTATTTAATGGTATCTAACGGTATCTAATGACATTTAACGGTATTTAATGGTATCTAA